TTCGGCTCAGGTCATGATTTCAGGGTGGTGAGATCTAGCCCTGTGACAGGCCCCAGGCTCAGCAGGAAGTCTGCTTAAGATTCTCTTCCTCTGTCCTTCCCCCCTCTCAAATAAATAAATAAATCTTTAAAAAAAGAATTATATCTTTTACATTTTGAAAAGTTTGTTTTCACAGAATCACAGACAAAGGAAGCTGAGGGAACGATCCAGTTTACTCATTTAAAACATACATGCAGACTCCAACCCTTATTCCACAATTCCACGTTCCCCCAACAACCTTCTGATGATCAGCTGGCCCCGGTTCTACAGGGAGAGCATATGCCCATCAGACTGCGGCAGTGACTGGTAACTGGGCACGCATCCATCTGTCTGTACACAGATTCTTAGTCCGGTTTACTTCTCCATCTCAGGGGCTCTGAGGCTGAATCTGCTTTTTAGGCTGGGAGGCCGTGGAGACCTCATGTTCTGGGTTTCTGACACTGCTTGGCTGAGGCAAGACTCTGAAGGACGGTGACTTCCCCAGGGGAAATGCTATTTGTTGAGGCTCCTCTCCCGAGCAGGGTCCTGCCCCCTCCTTTGCTAAAGGAGAAAACCAAGGTTCCGAAAAGGGACGTGGCTGATGCCTGTCAGACTGTGACCAGACCTCGGTCTGCCTGACGACAAAGTCTGTGTTCTTTCTAATTTACCCCTCCTTGCCTGGAGGAAGAGAAACTGGGGCTAGCAATGAAGGGTAGGCAAGAGCAGAAGGTGCTTATATTCAGTTTGTCATTTTTAGCTTCTTGGGACTTCCACAGTAAGACAATTCGACACCAGCTATTTGGAGAAGGTCGAGGCCTGCCATGAGGACTCGTTTGATCTTGAGTACCAACTCCAAATGTCTGGTGAAGAAAGACGCATGTGTCTGAATAAGATACGTTCTTCTAGTTCATATTTCCTCCTAGGGCTGAGCCTCTCTTCCTGACTTGGGGAGAATATTGCAAAAGAAGCTTCCATTAGGCATTGAAAGTAACACTCCTTACAAGGACAAGAGCAACTTTCTCATATCAAGAAAAACAAAGCTCCCTTCTCAAAGCATTCAGATACATTGAAAATGCAAGGTGAACTTGGCTGGGGAAAAAGTTGAGAGTAGCCAAAGCTGCTATGAGAAATAAAGGGGGTCCTAATAGATGACTTCAATGTCCCAGGGTCATGCCACCAGCAGCCATAAATAAACAGAGATGCTGAACAAGGAATTTTAAAGCCTTTCTGTAAAATGATAAATACAAATAGCTGGATACAGTTAAGGAATATAATTTTATTTAAAAACACAAATGACAGGGCAAAAGGAAATGTCCAAGTGTTCTGAATGTGGGGAAACTTTCTACTCTACAGAAAAAGAAATCTTTTTGCTTTAAAGTATGCAAAGAAGTGAAGCTAGACTTCATCTCAGAAGTAGATCAAGTGGACATAAAGGATATTTAAGCAGCAGAAGGGAAAGAAAGTGTTATCAATGAACTATAGCTAAGATCACACTCCTTATCTGTAAAGAGAGAGAATCTGTGATAAGCTATAGTACAAACCAGAATTCATTTGAAAGATAAAACCCAGAACCTGCAGGGCCAAAGATGCAACCTCATTTCCTTTTTCCCCTGCCACCCAGCTGCTGCCAATGATTTCACTGAAACAGAATAATCACCTCTGTTAGCAAAACCTAAAGGAGGTTTTTATGCCAAACTACTAAGGGAGTAGTCTGCAAACTTTTGATTGAGACCCATTAATAAATTTTGAAATCAGCTTAATATGATAGTATTTGAAAAAAGAACAAATTAAAAATAGAAAATGTTTGACATAAACCATGCAGTCAAGTTTCAGATTCATTCCATCTATGAGTGTGGATGTTTGCATGTCCTGAATTGTGAGGTAAGATGTGTTTTAGATCATCTCAGCCAACAAATACTCAGTAGAGGGGACCTGAGTGTCACTTCCCTGTGACCCCCTCCGCCACCATCCCCTCATCCCCTACTAAATATCAAATCATCTTGCCAATTCTAACTCCCTTTCCCACCCACACAGCCAAAAAAGGAAGTGGGGCTGTGTTTCTATGTTTGTTCCAAGTGTCATGAGGGACAACTAGCTTTTAGAGTTCAGGAGTGGATGTAGACAACTTGAAGGAAGACTTGCCCAGACCTGGAAGGGCCTCAGACACAGCAGATGATGTGAAATGAAAGAAAACCATATAGATCCTGACCTGAGCTTGGGACTTTCTGAAGGTCTGAAGAAAGAGAAGGAATGGCAAGGAGGACTGGATGGAAAGTCATGGGTAAACAATGGAAAAAAGCTGAAACCCAAGATACTGGAAGATAAGCCCACACTGTATTCTTCATGTTGGAAGATGATGTTAGTAACCCGTCATCCAGAGATGGAGATGCTTTTGCTTTTTATTTTTTTCTCTCCCGGAATGAGGATGGATACTTGCCCATTCATTCACATTCTCTGGATCCAGCTTCTCATGAAGCATAGTATGAGTTTGTAGGTGCTGGCTCAGACATGACCAGATCTGCCACCTGCCCTCAAGGAGACAGATTTCACCAAGTAGCCAACAGCCATGAGAGAGATGGCAGCCGGAAAATGACACCAGGCCTGGTATGCTATCGACTTCATCCGGCCTCTCCACCCTGGTCTTTGCAGCCCCTTGGGAATTCCTCCACCAGATCCACTTGGAAATGGCCACCAAGGGGGCTCAGGGAACTGAAAACCAGCCCTCATTCCACTCCTCAAGCTGTGCATCCAGCTTGGGATTATCTTCAACTTGAAGAAGGAATGTTTTTCTAATTCCTTGGCCCTTCTCCATGCCACCACCCACCAGAGTGCCTTTCCCTCATTTTTACAAAGGAAAAATAAGCTAAAAAAAAAAAAACCCTATAAGCTAGTAGCACCCCACTGGGAGGACAACTCAATTCCATCAACAAGTCACTGTTGTTTTTTTCATGGAGTCAGGCAATCCTGCAGTGTTCAAAAGTCACCCACGTGCAGGATACGGGCACAGCCGGCAGTTCAAGTGACTTTTCCTTTCATGCACTTCAGCACTGGAGAACGTATTTAACAGCCAGCATGTGGATGGCCTGACAGAAGCACTGAATCACTTACCAAAGGAAAAGATACCCGGGATGTGAGCAGACACCACTCCCAGAATCCCATGTTGCCAGGCTGCACACTCCCTGGCTGCCTTTCACTTCACTAGATCTTTTTTTGTGTGCCTTAGGATGCCCAGGACACCCCCTACTTTTGAGAGTCCTATTTTGTTTGGGACCAATTCAGAAGAAAAGAGAAGCTACATGGAAGACGCATTTATTGCCACCACTGCGGGGAGATGAAGCGAAGGCAAAAAGCAGCATCCCGCGGCTTAGGTCTTGGCCCATCCGTGTGCGTGATCCGGTGGCCTCCCAGGTCACACTCTGCCACACAGATGTTCCAGCCAGTCCCCACGCTGCCACCCATTGTGCTGGCATGCGGAGGAGGCCTTTTTAAAAAAATAAGATCGATTTTCAGCACAGGCACTTTTTTTAAGCTTCAGCTCTAACGATCTGCACACCCAATTTCTCATCATTATCTTTGCTAAATGCTTTCAGTGCAGGAGGGATGGGCCAACGGGTCTCTGTACTGGCGGATTATCAATAATCTCCCTTTGAGGCAAATACCTCACTCTAGAAGGAAAAATGACTCTATTTTATACTTGCTATTTCCCTATCCTGTAGACGGGGCTAATACGTATCTGCTAAGAAGTGCTATTGCAAGGGCTAAAAATACAAAGATTATAGCATATAATAGGAACTCAGTACCTGCTGGTATCCTTTCCCTTTGGGGCTGAAGGGGGGGGCGGTTATCAAGCAGGCTCCGCTCTGCCTGGGCAGGAGAATTTTTGAGAAGGGGGCGGGCAGTATTCTTAGACACCTGAGGGCACCATCGGGATGAATGAGTGGTAAAAGAGTCACCCCAGGATTGGAACACAAGGTTGAGAACTCAACTTCCCGTTCTAGTCTCTCTTTCACCACAACCTTTGTCAGCTGCAAAATAAATAGCTGCAAAAAGATATAAAATATCTTTTAAAGGGTGCTTAGGGAAATTGAAGACTTCAGAGGAAAAAGGGAGTGGCTGGCCTGTTACCTCCTCTCCATCCAACATTTACTTGCTTTTCTGGGTGAGACAAATAACTAAAATCTCGTTAACAGAGTATTAACTACAGAGAAGGTCTTGGTTCTTAAGAAAAGTGGGGTGAGATTATGGCCGTCTATACATCTTTACGTATTAACTAAAAATAAAGCATTAGTTCTGCGGAAGACAATCAGAGACGCCCCCTGACCTCTGCTCTCCTTGCTCCGGGATTCTGCAAACACTGTCACTTGCATCTGCCTTGTTCAAACTCTGCCAGCAACTGAGACTCAGCTTTGTGTGGCACAGTAGATTCTTCCATGAAGTCAGGTGAGGCGACCAACACAGGCCGAGATGGAACATACCAGGAGTCGCCCTGTCCTGACCCAAGACTCTAAATTATGTCTCGAAGAGAACTTCATGTCTTCTGCGTAATATAACCATCCGCTAAGTCTGTCACTAAAGATTAAGCATTCCTACATTCAACCTGAAACTCCTTTTCAGTGAAGCTACGAGTGTATGACACCTTAGGAAATCCTTCTCCCACTTCCAAAGAGGTTGGAATGACAAACCAATTCATCTAAACTCCACAGGATACCGAAGCCTCCAACTTTGGTAAGAAGGTTTTGGCCATGACTACATTTTTAGTAAATTCATTGCTCCAAAGCGAATTGTCCCTGCTCTACAGGATAACCTCCCAAAGATCACACTTTGAGAACCGAGTCTCTGATGATGTGCCTTTTGGCTCTCTCTGGCTTCCGTCCCTGGCTGAGCCCGAGGTAGAGCATCATTCCCATGCTCGCACCCCGGCACTCACACTGGGCAGAATGGCTGCTAAATGGGACAAAGAAAAGGGAAGAAAGCATCCTGACCTTGTGCAGCTCCACAGGAGTTGGGGACATGATCTCCTTAATTTCTTGTTTCATTTTTCTCAGGGTGACAGACTTTCTGCCCACATCTGTGGGCAGGGTGTTGCTCCGAGTTGTTTGGCTATAATGCGGCCGCGAGCTGCTCCGTTCCTGGAAGCTGGCCTGTCGCCCCAGCTGACTGCGAGGTGTTGGGGCCTCATGATTCAAACTCATCGTGCTCCCCGACATGATTGTTGCCTGTGGCATTGACAATTTTCAGAAACAATTAAGCCGCGGACTAAGAAAAGGGTTTGGTTGCTCAATACTAAGCACATTTTTCCTTCTGCCCAAAGTACAGTCTCTTCAGGGCACAACCAAAGGCCGGAGAATGGACGTACTAATTGAACTATGAAAGTCTGGGAAAATGATTTACAAGTGGCATTTATAATGCACATCTCAAATCCAACTAAAGTACTTAAGCCATTGGTTTTATTTAATCCAATACCACCCCTGGCAGTTTTGAGGCAAATTGAAAAGCTATAACATTTGCTTACTGCAAACTACATTTTAAGCATTAACTTTCCACTGAGTGGGCTCTAAAGATGGGATTCATGAAGCAACTTCAATTTATCTTACAGAAATGGATTAAGAGGGCGCCTGGGTGGCTCAGTTGGTTAAGCGACTGCCTTCAGTTCAGGTCATGATCCCAGGGTCCTGGGATCGAGTCCCACATCGGGCTCCCGGCTCAGCAGGGAGCCTGCTTCTCCCTCTGACCCTCTCCTCTCTCATGCTGTTTCTCTCTCGCTCTCTAATAAATAAATAAATAAATAAAATCTTTAAAAAAAAAAAAAGAAATGGACTAAGAACTTTCCAATGGAACCAGGCGGTCTCTATTGGCAATGCTGCCTCTAGCCCCACCTAGAGGTAACAATGGGCTAAAACAGGGCTACTGATAGAAAGGCAATAGCCAATGCTGCCTGCCTACCACTGGTACACTGTCTTTCTTTGGCCACGTGGTCTGTCCCAGAAGCTTGTAGAACCAGCTAGGACTCCACACCATTTGGCGTAGGTCCACGTTTCTTAGAAACGGTCTTTGTAGGGCGCCTGGGTGGCTCAGATGGTTAAGCGTCTGCCTTCGGCTCAGGTCATGATCCCAGGGTCCTGGGATTGAGCCCCGCATCGGGCTCCTGGCTCAGCGGGGAGCCTGCTTCTCCCTCTGACCCTCTCCCCTCTCCTGCTGTTTCTCTCTCGCTCGCTCTCTAAAAAATAAATAAAATCTTTAAAAAAAAAAAAGAAACGGTCTTTGTGGGAGATCGTCAAAGGTCAAAGAGTAATCATTTATTGTGCTACTGGATTCAACCCTTTGCTCAAAACCTGGGAAACATGGATTGGATTTTACCAGTGAACAGGGAAGTTTGTTCAGATTCAAATATGTTCATATGTGGGACACCTGGGTGGCTCAGTTGGTTAAGTGTCTGCTTTTAGCTCAGGTCATGATCCCCGGACCCTGGGATCGAGTCCTGCATTGGGCTCCCTGCTCAGTGGGGAGCCTGCTTCTCCCTCTGCCGCTCCCCCTGCTTGTGTTCTCTCTCTCTTCCCCTGACAAATAAATATTTTTAAAAAAATGTTCATATGCAAGGAGAAGCAAGATTAGACCCAAAATATGACTGAATCTTGGAAGTGAAACTAAAAAAGCATCTGAAACCAATGTCATGTTGAGGATGTTCATTTCTCATGGTTAAAGGATGCTAAAATTCTGAAAACATGTCTGTAAGGCAGCTCCATCCTCCTTGGTAGGATGGTTGAATGATGATGGTAAACCGGCACTGGTGAGTCTGCCTGAGGTCATGGACCAGAAAACAAACCCCACATGCTGTGTTGCTGGCTACGCTGTGATCTAGTGGTTTACATTCATACTGATGCTAAAAGTAGCAGAGAGTCCTTTGTTGAGTCCTTGCATTCGCCCACTTAAGCCACACAACAACTTTGAGATGGACACTGTTATGACTCCCAATTTGTAGGTGCAGAAACTGAGGCACACAGAAGCTGACTTACCCAAGGTCACCCAAGTAGTAAATAAGCCAAGGGCACCATCTAAAATTATTGATTAAGAGGGAACACTGCAATGTGATCGAGTTTTCATTTGTTATCTCACTAAGATTTTGTAATTCCAAGTGACCTGGTGTTCGGCTACACACACACCAGTAAAGAGATCTTTGAGGGCGCCTGGGTGGCTCAGTTGGTTAAGCGACTGCCTTCGGCTCAGGTCATGATCCTGGAGTCCCGGGATCGAGTCCTGCATCGGGCTCCCTGATCAGAAGGGAGTCTGCTTCTCCCTCTGACCCTCCCCCCTCTCATGTGCTCTCTCTCTCATTCTCTCTCTGTCAAATAAATAAATAAAATAAAATCTTTTAAAAAAAAAGAGAGATCTTTGAATTGCAGCCAAGTATTGGCACACATGTACATATATCTATGACTCTGTTGAAAAAGGAACAAAACCAGTTATCTTATCAATATCCTGACTAGGTTAGTTATCATATTGATGACTTTGAAAAAGAAAATTTTAGTCGTAAGAAAAACCTTACTGGTCGTTGACCACTAACATGTGCTCAGTACCATATATATGTGTCTGTAGAATGTCATTTAATACTTGTGGTAAGTCTCTATGATATGTATTAGAGTCATCACACCTCCCCACTTCAGTCATGGAAAGGGATGCCTGGATAAGGTGAGCAAGCTGCCCAAGAGTCTGGGATTGCAGGCCTCACACTCGGATTCCAGAATCCTTCTTCTTGACTACCAGGCTGGATTGCTTCCCAGTCAAGTATTCGGTTGAAACATATAAAATTGACTTTTTAGGAGATTTAAAAAAAAAACCCTAAGATGTAAGCCAATGTGGATTATCCATATTATGGTTTATTTCAGTTAAATCTCTTTTTAAAATGGAAAGTTTTTGACTCCTGGCTTTGTTGGTGTCATGGGACATCCTTTATTTTATGGCACTTAACTCACCGAAAGCATTTCTCTGTTTGTCCACTGCAAGTGACAGCACCCAGTGATTATTTTCTTGCAGTGGTGACCATCCATCTATGGTTTTTTACCTACTTAGACAAGTTATTGGCTTTGTTCACATCTATTTTTTATACTCATTTTTCATGGGATCAGTGGGAAACACGTTGGAGGTAAAATACTTAATCACTACAATAGGGAGATAATGGTTTGAGCTTTGGCCACTACAGAAGTTCCAAACTGATCTAGAAAGAGTTCTGATGGAGGCAAGGTTTCAAAGCACGGCTTGACTGCTTTGTTTAAAGTGAACTTCAAGGGGCGCCTGGGTGGCTCAGCCGGTTAAGTGTCTGCCGTCGGCTCAGGTCATGATCCCGGGGTCCTGGGATCGAGACCCACATAGGGCTCCCTGCTGAGCAGGGAGCTTTCTTCTCCCTCTCCCTGCCGCTCCCCCTGCTTGTACTCTCTCCCTGTCTAATAAAAAAATAAAAAATCTTAAAAAAAAAGTGAACTTTGATTACTATGAAGCAATATAAAAATTAAAACATAAATATAAAAACTAAAATAAAGTTTAAAATAATTATTTTAAGTTATCTAAGATTTGTTTTCACTTCAGGATTATCTATTGCCTGTTCCCATTTTGCACAATTCATAGTGTATAGTTATAATCCCCTGCCCCATTATCAATGAGGTAACTGATACACATAAAACTTAGCGGGATACGTTCAAGGGTTTACTAGCTGATATTTAGTTAAGCCTTCTTCCTATATTAAACAAAAAACAGTTAAGGCAGTGTTCATTAATAAAAATGGTAAAAATAATAATTTCTATTGAACAATTATTAAGTGCTATGTTCTGTGTTAAGTGCCATATAAGCATTAGTCATTATAATCCCCTTATTTTATAGAAGAATAAATATCTGATAAGACAGATTAAGTAACTTGTCCAAAGTCTTAGTTTGAATTTTTCTCTTTTGTTAAAACTGTACATTTTTCAGTGCTAAAGTTGAACCTAAATAACTGCTAGCTAACGGGGAGAATGCCAAGTATAGTTTTCATTTCCATTTCAACTGTAATCATTTCTCATTTTAGCTAATCTTCTACATTTATTAGGGTTATAGTATGCTGTAACTTTTAATACTGGACATAAATTTCATATGCAGGAAACTTGCTCCAATAATACTTTTTTGCGTTGTAACATTTACAATCAAGCAATCAGAGTTCATTTAAGCTAGTAAATGATCTAATACAAGTATAAGTAAGACTTTAATTTATCGATTTGCCAATCATTCTTCCTTGTTGAGGGCTTTAATTTCCTTTTGGCTTATAAATTCAACCCATTTCCCTTCTGGAGTTATAATTTCAAGGGCTACACCTGCCTGAAGCTAGGTTAGAAAAAGTTTCTGGGCTATTGCAACATAACTTCTATGCTCATAGATATTGTTTTCATTTTAGATAACTCAGCTTCTGGGTGAAAACCCAATCTCATTGTGTTACTTTTTACATCACCCTTGTTTTACCTGCTATAAAAGAAGCTATTAGAAGAATAGCTGCTTCTTTAAAAGAGAAATATCAAAATGCAAAGTGAAGAAGGCGTATGAGCCAAACATGCTTTCAAAAGCAAGGGTATGTTCAAGAATTGTGAATTGAGCTCATTATCCAGTTGGGCCCCTTCTGCTAATCATTCTAGGTACAGGAAGTGGTAAAAGTTTAAATAAGCCAGCTGATACTTAAGCATTTTACTCTTTTTGAAAGTTGCCTAAAAAGGAATCAATTGCTAATGTCTTAATTTATTTAAGTTTTATAGCATTGTCCATCTCCAGGCCCTTCACCTGTGCTCTGAAGTTTCAATTCATGCCAGGTAATACTATATTTATAAATTCAAACTAATATTTTCCTTCATAATTCTCTTTGCAGATTCACAAACATTAGAATCACATCAAATATCCACACATGCAATTGAGAAGCAAAATAATACAAAGATGAGTATTCGTTTTAGAATTGCAATTTCACCCACTTATGCCATTCACATTCCTTATGGTGACTTGGGGACCTCATATGACATCAAAATAAAAATGAGACTTTTGCCACTCTATTTTTTACAGCTCAGAAAATTTAAAAGAACATAAAAGGAAACAGTCCAGGACCTCCTAGACCAAAGTGTGAATATTGTCAGCAAATTCATGGCTTTGATTAAAGAACTCACCAGGAGTCCGGCTATTATGTTCCATCTCGCCCCAACTCCCAGAATTCACACTAAGTTAATATGGAATCAGGATTTGCAATTAACAGCAAAGTACTGTGTAATATTTTGGCTGCTTTTCACACAGACTGGCCTTTTTCACCAGCTGCATTGTCATCTACTTTAAGGGCAAAACGAAACAAAATAAAATAAAATTTCCTCTTATGTTCCTCTTCACGATCCAATTAATTGCTATACCAGGTACAAATTAAAACATGCCAAAGAAACCTTTCTAAAGCAGCTCCGAGAATGGGATGCGCCACTGCTGGGGGGCTTAGCTCCCTCCCCAGCGACTTGGTGGCAAACAGGTACAGTCAAAGGTTAGCAGGGAGCGATGGCAGAAGCCACAAGTCAGTAAGCTCGGGGTGGGGGTGGAAGTGGGGAAATAAATACTTTCAACTGCACTGAGTAAAATCAAATTGCTATCCGGACGGCAAGGGGGCAGGGAAGGCAGCTTCACAAGCAAAAATATAAACATAAAGGGTAGCTACCAAGAGAGTCATGTTTCTCAAAGACACACGCCTGTCCGCTTTCTCCTGTGGAAAGGGGTTAAAGCTTTTAAATGAACTGATGTGATAAATGCAAACTCAAAAGGACCAAAAAAAAAAAAAAAAAAAAAAATGAATGTAGAAACAATAAAAGTAAGTAGCAGGACCGAGGCTACCTCGAGTTCTCTCAGAATTCCCGACTGTCCACAGGTTTCCAAATCCTCCAGTGCTTGGGACCAGAAGTTCTCCTCTTGTTCAGCCTCCGAATTGTCGGGAGCCCCTGTGAAACTGTCGTCAAAAAGCACAGTCCGGGTTGAGAACTTGCCAGACATAATCCAGAATCTCTCTCTTTCCTCTCACACACACCCAAAAAATGGGAGATCCTTTTGGGATCTGGCGTTCTTGCAACTGTAACCTCCGAGTGAGGCTGCTTTCGGAAATGCAAAGTATCTCCAAGAACAGAGGGAAGGACCACGGTCTTACTAACTGAATTTGAGTTTTCATGGCTACTGTAGAATGAACCTCATCAGCATGGCGCCATGGGGGAATATCTTTCAGCTGCTCTGCCTGGTGACAGAGAAGTCAAACTTCCAAGAGAAAAATGTTTTCTCACTTATAAATATCAGTATAGATCATTTAAGGGCTACCGGTTTTTATGAATTTCCTTAAAATATTTTGGTAAGGAACAAAATGCTAAAATATATCTCAATTCAAACTATGGGATCCTTGATGTATCTTTTTTTTTAATGTAAATTAACGTGAAGCAAACTTTTAAAGGAAAAGAGAGGACACTAGTCAGAGAGTGAGGACAGCGTTTACAGATACAGATCTTCCCATGTGCTACTATTGTTTTCATTAGGGGAAACTGAGCTCTTGCCTTGCTGTGGGGTGATGCCATGCTCCTGCTGGGCAGGCACGGGTCTCTGAACCCTGCCAGGGGCGGGTGTGGGGGTTCCTGTCATGCTCCCGATGCTAGCAATATGTGCCACCGGAAGTAGACAGATTCAGATCTGGGCTAATGGCCGCGAAGCAGTTTGGACAGGCAGCGGTTGATGAAAACCTTACCCACTGACTGTGGACCGGTCCCAGTCTTCATTACTCAGCCCCACGTCTGGGTAAGTCTGGCTTCGTGGCTTAGTGACTGGGGACAGGCTGCCTCTCTGCTTTGGACCCCTCCACTCGTAAGTGTTGAAGCTGTAGCCTGAGGCCTGAAAGCCAGAGCCTGAAACAAAAATCAGGTGTCACCTTCTGTTTCTGAGAAGGACTGGAGAGGGTCTGTTTGGTAATTTGTCTTTTTCTGCGGTTTCTATTAGTTCACTCAAGGCAGCTGATGTTAACTGAATTTGGGATCAGAAAGGCCATGGGATAACACTCAAGTCTTATAGGCAAAACACATTCACACGCATTATGTTAACTGATTCCAACAACAGCTCTGAGGTAAGACCTTTAGACCCAAGCAGGAGAGCCCACTGTGTTGGACCTGTTTTTATTAGGGCTCCTGCCCTGCTCTCTCTGGGCAAGAAATCTGCTGGGCTGGGGGGAGGTACCCCCAAGACCTGTATCCAACCCTTTCTAGAGCAAGTTCTAGAAAGTCAGAATGCTGAACTTCCTGCCCAGATACCCTGTGTTCACCTACAGGATGCGTGAGGGCTTCTTACCCAAGTCTGTCTTTTTGAGAGTGGAATTTGCCACCAGATGTGGGTTCCAGGGTAAGGAGTGGCTAAGTGGCTGCTAGTTGTAGGAGTGTGGATGGAGCTTGGCTCTGCGGGGCTGGGGCCCACAAATGTTAAGGATGGGCCCGAGGATGACTTAATCACGATGAGAAATGACATTGTTAGTAAAAAGAGGGGTGGAATAAGAATGGTGACAGCAGTAACAATAGGGATCACAGAGTGGGTACTTATGTACCTGAAACTTCATTAAGTGCTTGATTTGCATCGCCTTCTTTATTCTTCATAACCTTCTTCAAAGGTAGTACTATTATTATTTGCATTTTACATATGAGCATACTAAAGGCTTAGAACAGTGGTTCAAGTATGTAGGGGTATCTGCAAACTCTCCCCCGGGAGTTCCAGTCATAACCTTAGGAGCATCAGTTCTTAGACCCTCAGGATCCTTAAGCACGTCTTCCCAAAATCAACCCCACCGAAAAGAACCAAGGGTCCAAGATCTGTTGGCTCTCCCTTCTCAGTTGTTTTTCTGTCACTTTACAAATGAAAGACACATTTCTTACGCATCTCAAACCTTTTGAAGGAGCTTGGCTCTGGGACGCAAAAACCCCCAGTCGTCAAATCAAGGAATAATTTGGGAAAGCCCCGCTCCTGAGAGGAGGTCTCCAGGGAGCAGCGCCTTAATTCAACCAGGCACAGACTCCTGGTAAGGTTTCCCCTGCCCCCCAACCACCTGTCTCTCTGCATCTCAGAGTTAGAATTCAAAACAGTTGTCGGGGTGGGAGGTGGGCACATTATTATGTTTATTGGAATTATAAAATGAAAACTGACTTCCTTTCTGACAGGGAGTTCAGTCCGATTAGCTTGATAGGTGAGGCAGGGTGGAATGGCTTTGGCAATTGGGTTATAAAGTGGACATTTTCCACAAATCTGAGCTAAATCCATAGTTCCCGATTTTGACAAAAATATGTTAAGGCATATTAATGACCAGCTAGAAATTATAGTCTTTGCAAGTATTTAAATTTGGGGAGAAAAAAATGAGATGACAACTTTAAATGTGTGACGGGATATGCGGTTTTTCAAAATTCTTTTGGGAGGTTTATTTTTTTTTTTTTAAGATTTTTTATTTATTCATTTGTCAGAGAGAGAGAGAGAGAGAGAGAGAGAGCACAGCAGAGGGAGAAGCAGGCTCCCTGCTGAGCAAGGAGCCCGATGTGGGACTCGATCCCAGGACCCTGAGATCATGACCCGAGCCGAAGGCAGACACTTAACCGACTAAGCCACCCAGGTGTCCCCCTTTGGGAGGTTTAAAAAGGAGAGCAGGGGCTTTCGGGCAGGTCTGACTCTACAGCGTGTGCTATAATCATGATACATGGCTCCATCCACCATTTCGGGTTGTGACCCACTGTATATGTGTGTGTGTGTGTGTGTGTCTGTATGTGTTTACGTGTGTGTACCAGGTTGCAATATAATATGTATTTCTTACTGTGTTTAAAATCTATTAAGACAAAAACCAAACAAACCCCCCCCCAAAAGCCAAAATAGTTAATACAACAAACAGGCCTTGGCTGCCATTTTCATATACAATGAAACGAGCGTATCACATAAGATGACTGTCACCAAGGCATCCCTGTTTCGTGTTACTCACTTTCCCTCCACTTGTTAGAACCTATAATGTCATCCTTACTAATAGAGCGCAGAGGAAGCAGGATGCCCAAAGGATAATGCTCTGATCAAAAGGACTTGATCTCAAGAATGCAGGGGAATGCCCACAGCTGCAAGAACCTTCTATGAACCTTCTGTTTTAGGATACCAAGCATTAGGAGTCCTTGGCGCAGAGAAAATATTTACAGTTTGATATCTCATTTTCTTCCTGGGTAATAACAGAAGTATGGCTAGCCATTTGGGAAGAAATTTTGTGTGATCAATGTGCTGTTTTCTGTTGAAAGTGCTGAATTAAGGAAACGCACGGGTCTCTTCTTGAAGGGGAGTGCTACAAATCACTGCATTTCTCCTGACTTTCTCTTACAGGCTATCCATTTTCTCCTTCCCAACCAGAGAAACCAACCCCCCAAATAAGTGAAGTCTCCCTTTTCGTGATACAAAAAGAGGTAGGGGAAGCCTCACTTGCCTTAACTAGCTTTCAACTTGCGAAGAGCCAAATGCCAAATGGTGGTGTCCTCTGGACAGTATCCTTTTCTGATAAGCATTAACCTGTTTGATCAGTCGGTTCCCTGGGGAAATTCCAACATGTTTTAAACTGGACAGATTAACTTTCTGATTTTCCTTCCAACTGTTGTTTGCAAGTAGTTCTTGGTGATTGGGCAAGAGTATAAGGATGGCCTTGAGCAGATGGGCAGCATTGTTCGTCACTCGGGAAACACCTCTTTCGGAAAAGCGTGTCTGCCTACACCAAGGGTGCCTTGTGTTAGTAAGCAATATTAAATGATTATTGCATTACAACAAAGCAGGGCATGAAGAGGGGATAAAATTCAAATATCCTTGGGTTAGGTATAGGCTCAAAAGACCTGGGTCCATGCTGTGCTAACACAGGGACTGAGTAAGAAACATGCGTCCAAATCCCAGCTTTGCCACTTCCTTGCTCTGTAGCCTCACCAACTCACCTCAGTGTAAGGTAGGGATAACCATACATATGTGCCTCACCAGCTTGACATGAGGACTGAGAATAACATACACAAACTCGCAAACATAATTAGGTTTTAATAAATACAGATGCCCATCACTTTTATTATGTGCTAAGCCATTCAACCTCTCAAGATCTGTTTCCTTCTCTTTCATGCTGCCTGGAATGTAGGTGAAATAACTGGTACCCTGGTAACCAAGTGCTAGGCATAATAAAGAAGAAAAATTTAAGAGCATGGGTCTTCGAGGACACTGTGGAGTTATATGCCAGCTCTGAAATGCCTACTTTTAAAAAATGATTTAAGTCACTGTAATATTAGGGTATTCAGTTCTATTCAGCTAAATCAATCCAACTGATATGCGGGGTTACAGTTAGTTTTGTAGATCTGACTTCCCTCTCATTCAAATCCCAACATCTAGACTTGGATTAGGAGTAGGGAGATAGCAACTGATTCTGGCTGCATGTCCATCCCAGCTTTTCTAGCAAAACAAAGCAAAACAAAAAACCCTCCCCTCCAAAAAACAAAGAGTTGGTATTTTAATCCATAGCTGACTCCATTTCTACTTCTCCACTGATTTAGAATGGATAAAGGTGGGGATTGATGAACATATTAACATACTGATTAACCTACCTAGTGCTGTGCGGTACCAAAGAGCAAAGCTTGCTTGGCGAGTAGCGAGAAGCTCAGGATGTGTAGAGTAAAAGGTACTATAAGGAACTGTCAGGAGATTAGGTTGATGAGTGGTTGGGAACTAGATTACAAAGAACTCTGGTTTAAACTGAGTACAGTTATCCTAAAACAACAGAGAACCATCAAGAGGGTTTTTGTTTGTTTGTTTTTTAAGGGAGGGGCAAGATGAGATATAATTTATTTTTTTAAAAGATCATTGATAGTAATACATTCAAAGTAAGGAGATGGTGAGGAAGTAAATATTTCAGGCCTGATGAAGGTTTAATAACAAAGGTGTGGTGTCTAAATGTGGTGTCTGGGAGGGCCTCCAAATGTAGGGTGACAATTGGGTGGAGGCAGACGGTGTGGGCAGTGAAAGGATTCACCTGAGGCAGAACAAAGGATATAGAAGTTTATTGAATACACAGCCAGAGAGCTGGAGCAGGACAGGATGGGAGAGGTTGTTTGCCCTGAGGCAGAGGGTGGGGGCTGCTTTTTTAAAGGGGGAAGGTGAGGAGGTGTGGCGACCTCTGGAATTCTCCCTTTTTTTTGGTGACTGTGCCTGGGTATCTTAAGGTGGATCCCCTGTTGGGCCTGTCTGTATCCAGCCAGGGGGCGCTATGGGCCCTTTCTGCATTCTATCGCTCAAGCCTGTGTGCCTAAAAGTAGCCTCCACAACAGACAGTAGCAATGAATGGAGAGACAGGAGATATGTGAAGCTGGAGGTAGGAGAGGCTGGGTCCTAATGACACAGCGGGCCACCTGCCTCATCCAGGGTCTTTACTACAGTGGGAGAAAAATAACTAACTCGTTTAAACAGCATCATTTGTATTTTCTTTCATATGTAAGTGAACTCAATCCCTAACTGATGTAGGTGGAGGATGATTGCATAATTTAAAATAGGGTATGTCTTTTGACAAAATACAACATCCTTTCCTGATTAAAGCTCTCCAGAGTATAGGGATAGAGGGAACATTCCTCAAGTTCATAAAATCCATCTATGAAAAACCCACAGTGAATATCATCCTCAATGGGGAAAAGCTGAGAGCCTTTCCCTTAAGATCAGGAACACGTCAAGGGTGCCCACTCTCACCACTGTTGTTCAACATAGTACTAGAAGTCCTAGCAACAGCAATCAGACAACAAAAAGAAATAAAAGGTATTCAAATTGGCAAAGAAGAAGTCAAACTCTTTTCGCAGATGACATGATACTTTATGTGGAAAACCCAAAAGACTCC